CGAGGATGTTTACAGTTTCCTCATCGCGAAAGACACCTTGACATCTGTCACCGATGTCATTCGTCATTGCCGCACTTTTGAACAACTAAAGACGAGACGCATCACGCCGAAGTTCGGCAGGCTACCCAATGTGACGACCATCGCGAGCATAGACAGCAACCAGGCGCTTGATCTTGCAACAACAATCCGGCAGATAGTACGTGAAGAACTCGGCCTGTACGCGCAAGTGGCAAACCGCCCAAGCACTCATCCCCCCTATCAGCCACCAGAGTTCGAGCGAAACGTTGCTTCATTCTCCTCGCACCGAGTGGCGGAGGGCTTTGAGGATTCTGATGCCACACCTCAGTATCAGCCACGTCTATACGATAGAGGCCCTGCCTATGACGCACGATCACGACGAGCACAGCCACATTTTTATACTCAGGGCTCTCAGCCAGACTACGTCCCGCTGCGGCAAGGACAGTACCAACCCTACTACCAAGATGTAACTTACGACGAATACAATGAATTCCAGAGAGTGGCAGAAACCCGTTCTTCGCGTGATAATGAACTTCCTCGCCGACAGCAGCGGCCCAGGATTCGTTCCATTGAATATAGTATAAACCGTGATCCTCCCGTGTGCTACAACTGTGGTTTCACTGGGCATATCGCTCGGTATTGCCGCCAACAACGCCGCCAATCACGAAGGACACCAGCCATGTCTTCGCCACCAAGACCCGGTGCTTCATATTACCTGCGGACAACCGACTTGTTTCCAAGGGACCGTTTTTCGCGCGAGACCAGACGCAGTGATGCGCCAGCATCCGAGCGGAGTTTGACACCACCATCCAACCGTTCTCGTCGCTCGCCGTCTCCTGTGCGTCGTTCTTCTCCGCCGCCGGGAAACTAGCATCCGCGGCCAATGGAGGTGAGGTCGCCGGACGGTCTTTTCAAGATATACCTCTGCCTATTGTTATGATCAAAAACAAAGTGAATGTGTTGATTGATGGAATACCGACGATGGCGTTAGTTGACACAGGGGCGACTGTGTCTGTGATGAGCCTCGCCTTCAGAAACCACTTAGGTCGCAAAGTTATGTTTTCATGGGACGATACAATCACCTTTAAGCGAGTGGCTTAATCCTCTTGGTATATGTGTTGTCAGTGTTTCATTGGCTGGAAAAGTATTTGTATCGGAATTTCTGGTTCTATCTCGTTGTTCGCACGATGTCATTCTTGGTATCGATTTCCTGGAGCAATCCGGTGCTTCCGTTGACTGTGGTAGTGGGGAAATATCACTAAACAATTTGTTTATACCGTCGCTTTCCGAAGAAGACTACCGTGGCGAAGACAGGAACACACTTAGTGTGATTGATGAAGTGATAGCACCATCTTGGTGCCTGACACCCGTTCGAGTCTCTTCTACAGCGGTTGATGATGCTTGTGTTGACCTCGTAGTGGGGCCTCTACGCAAGAACTGTTTTAAGAAGGACATACTTGTGCCTTGTTCTGTTGTGTGCATGACAAAAGGAGTAGCAACATTGTGGGCGCTGAACTGTTCTGCCACGTTGGTTGTGCTTCCTCGCGGAATGAAGATAGCTCTCTTTGATGAAGCCTCATGCAACTCGATAGCAGCAATAGCTACGGACCTCCCCACCTTTTCCTCTGCTTGTGATATTCGCCATAATGAAGATCTAATGCTCGCTATAATCAGCAAGACTCTCAGTACAACGGAACGGCAAGCGCTGGTGCAGGTCCTTTCCCGGCATGTTGCTGCTTTCGACTTCAAACATAGAGATGCACCCCTTCAGTTACCCTCGTCTCGCGCTCGTCACAGAATAGACACTGGCTCTGCACACTCCATCCGCCAAAAGCCCTACCGAGTGTCATTCTCTGAGCGCAAAGTTATCGCCGAACAAGTAAAGGACATGCTGAACAAAGGGGTCGTGCAAGAGTCGTCCAGCCCGTGGGCAGCCCCGGTCATTCTTGTCAGAAAAAAGAATGGTTCCTGGAGATTCTGCGTAGATTACAGGCGTCTAAACACTGTGACGAAGAAAGATGTATATCCCTTACCGCGGATTGATGACGTCATAGATTGCTTGCATGCTGCTTCCTATTTTTCAACGCTTGATTTGCGCTCAGGTTATTGGCAAATACCTATGGATCCCGGCGACAAAGAAAAGACTGCTTTCGTAACTCCGGACGGCTTATTTGAATTTAATGTCATGCCTTTTGGCCTTTGTAATGTTCCAGCCACCTTTGAAAGATTTATGGACACAGTATTACGTCGTCTAAAATGGGACATATGCATGTGCTACCTTGACGATGTTGTGATCTTTGGTCGTACGTTTGAGGAACATAACAACCATCTCAGTCTTGTTCTCGACTGCATTGAAAAAGCTGGGCTGGTTCTGAATTCTAAAAAATGTCGCTTTGGCGAACGTCAAACTCTCGTGCTGGGGCACTTGGTCGACAAGGATGGCGTCAGACCCGATCCTCGCAAGATAGAAGCAGTGAGCTCTTTTAAATCACCGCAGTCCGCACGAGAACTTCGCTCATTTGTCGGCCTATGCTCATATTTTCGTCGTTTTGTTCCACGATTTGCGGAGATCGTGTATCCGCTGACAAACGTCTTGCGACAGGATGCAACCTTCAACTGGACACCAGAGTGTGACGCCGCATTCTCACAACTTAAGTTTGCACTAACGTCAGCACCACTGTTGCGTCACTTCGATCCATCTTGCCCGACTGAGGTCCACACGGACGCTAGTGCTATCGGTGTAGGTGCGGTGCTTGTACAACGTCACAATGGCACAGAGCATGTCGTGGCATATGCCAGCCGTTGCCTGAGCAAATCAGAACGCAATTACACAGTTACGGAACAGGAATGTCTGGCAGCTGTTTTCGCCGTACAGAAGTTTCGTTGTTATCTTTACGGGAGGCCATTTAAAATAATTACCGATCACCATTCGTTATGCTGGCTGGTCGGTTTGCGTGACCCCTCTGGCCGCCTCGCACGTTGGCCGCTGCGACTTCAGGAATACGACTTTACGGTGTCGTACAAGAGTGGCCGTCGTCACGCTGACGCAGACTGCCTCTCCCGGATTCCTCTTGCGACTACTGACTGCGATGCTGAGAATTTTGACGACTGCCTTGCTGCTGTTACAAGCACGTTCCCCAACGCGGCTGATTTCCAGAGAGAACAACGCAGCGATCTCAACTTGGATCCTCTTTTTGCCGCCACACGTGCCTCCCAACACAGCGGTCGCTTTACTATCCGAAACAAGTTGCTCTATAAAACTAACTACTCGAGACCTGGAGCACGTTTTCTTCTAGTTGTCCCCGGGAGCCTTCGCTCCGATGTTCTACGTGCCATGCATGACGATGCGACGTCCGGTCATTTCGGCTTCATACGAACGCTAAACCGCACGCAGGAACGCTTTTACTGGCCCAAGATGTACGAAACGACGAAGCGTTACGTCGCTAGCTGCGAGACGTGCCAACGTCACAAGCGCCCGGCCACCACTACACCAGGTCCCCTTCAGCCGTTAACACCACCCAGCACACCTTTTGAACAAGTAGGAATTGACATTATGGGTCCATTTCCGTTATCTAACAATAAGAAGCGTTGGATAATCGTCTGCGTAGATCATCTTACGCGGTATGCCGAAACCGCAGCTATTCCCTCTTCTACCGCTGCTTCCGTGGCGGACTTCTTGCTTCACTCCGTGGTCCTTCGCCATGGCCCACCGCGTGTTATTATCAGCGACCGTGGCCGCCAGTTCACTGCCGATGCCGTTGAAGAATTACTACACATGTGCACAACACAGTTCCGTCATTCCACACCGTATCACCCGCAGATGAATGGCCTCGTTGAACGGACTAGCAGAACGCTGATCAACATGCTTGCCATGTACGTTTCTTCCAATCACAAGAACTGGGATGAAGTGCTGCCTTTTATCACGTACGCGTACAACACGGCAAAACATGAAACAATGAACTTCAGCCCATTTTATCTGTTGTACGCCAGGTTGCCACTAAGCCCTCTAGACACTTTCTTATCCTTCATTCCACACAATGACGACTCTGTATCAAACACCCTGTGCCTCGCGGGAGAAGCCCGTCGAATCGCTCGTCTTCGTACTCTGGCCTCTCAACGTCGTTCGAAGGAACGATACGACGACCGTCACGAACCGGTTTTATTTGAAAAAGGTGACTTGGTGTTACTTTGGACACCGCAACGCAAGCGTGGATTGTGTCAAAAGCTTCTGTCATGATATTCAGGCCCATTTGTAGTTTTGGAGCGTCTAAGCCAGCTCACTTACGTAATAGCTCGTCTTTTGACCAATGGTCGACGATCGAGCAGAACGCAGCTCACTCACGTTGCTCGCCTGAAACCTTTCTACCCTCCTTGTGCATTATAACTCGCCCTACGGGCTTCGTCTGCTTGCGGGGGAATGTAACATACTAGAAAAAGGTAGAGAAGAGAAGCAGAGGAAGACGAAGAGTCTTGGCACGACCGCAGTGTGCTGCCGCAAACGACCATCGTTCACCTCCTGTTAAAAAAACCATCTTATCACAGCTCGCTGTTACAATATTTCATGCAAATATTTTTTTCGATTGTATACTCTGAATGTCAATTTAGCACTGCCGTTGTTACGCCCAGCGTGAGCAGGACCTTGTCGGGAGGCAAACCACCTCTTTTTGTCCTGACCGCGGGCAATGCAGTTGTATTGTTCAAAAAATGAAATAAATAAAAAAATATATAAGATTTGATTAAGCAGAACACTCTGCTAATCTCAATAGCAATTTCAAAAATACAACAAAGCAACGTAATGAAAAATCTGTAAATAGGGTTGTGTTGAGCAGACATTTCTACAAGGGAACTTGTGTCATACAAATAACTCTGTATGTTAATGTCATCATTTCTGCTCCATTTATGCAGTGATCTCCATAATTGTATCGCAGCGCATGCCACATGGGCCCCCACTGTGTCTTTTAATATTGAATTAATCGCCTTAGGTCAGCGTTGAATCTGGGCATCCAGTGGAATGGATGGAAGAGAAAAACTATTTGTTCCGATTGTCCCATTTCCAAGAAGACCTGCTTCACTGGTTGAAGTCTTCAGGTGATTTAAAGCATATGTTTTTTTTTCCCATGAAACCTGTTCCTTGAATAAGATTTCTTCCTCCTCCTATCTCTCTCCCTTCAAGAAGTGCTGTGATGTCGCCAACCTTTCGTATTTTTTTTTTCTGTTTGTTGTTCAGAAGGTATAGTGAAACCTGCAAAGTTTCAGAAGCTTCTCATGCATTGGATTGATGGTGGCCTTCAAGACCTTTCCGTATCCAGAAAGAGCACACGAGTTCATTGGGGCATCCATGTGCCTGAGGACAGTTCACAAACTGTGAGTGGTTGCTTATTCAAAAGGTAGCATGGTGCAAGAGAGAGAAAACCCCCTAACGATTCACCAACATTCCGATCAGCGTAGTAGATTTCTCTTCTTTTCTGCTGTGCATTGCAAGTAATTGACCATTTTAGTACTTGGACTGATGTTGATTTGAAATGCTGCTGGCATCCGGAGAATCGATTATCAGGGTGATCAAACCTGTTGGAAATAAGTCAGTGCTTTTCTCATAGGTATGCTTCCGTATACGTTCTGCTTTCTTTTTGCAAAGCAGTATTTTTTACCACATCATACATATGGTCATTCTGCATTAAAGTGGCAGTCTTAAGGCTATTTGGAGGTGTGGTGCCTTGAGGGCTATTTTTTCATGATAGCAGTAGACTATTTGTCCATTGCCACCATGAGATCTGGCAATTTTTGAAGTCATTTTTTTCGACTTATATGGCCTTTGTATTTCTGTGCAAGTAAGCATGTAATTTGCAGTGAACAATTTGCCTCTCATATGAGTAGTGGTTCTGCAATGTCCCGAAATGTATTCATAATATCTCTATGCAGTATAGAAGCCAGATTGCACTTCAGGAATTATAAATGCCTGAGTTCACTAATGCCCGAACCTTATAAATGCCTAAACTTGGGCAGTAACAGTAACTTTCCATATTCCCAAGTTCTGCCAAATGAGCACCCGTAATAGCTGTTGTTTCTATCCATGGCATAAGCGGTCTCTACAAAAGTCTGCGAGGCAGCAATGCTAGTCAGAAAAATCATGTGACAGCTTGTTTCCTCTTTTGAAAATTTGTTTACAGCACTGAATGTTTTTCATTGTCACTACATATGCAGTAAAATACAGGTACATACAATTTATTACACTGGCATACACTACAAACATGAATGTGTTTACAGGTAACGTTGCATTGAACACATTTGGCAATGCCATGCCACAAAAATTGCTTAGAGAGTTCTAGGAATGTACGAAACAGATTAGTAAGGTATCGCATAAACTAGATTTTTTTGTTGGTCACCATCATCTTGTGTTGTAAAAGTGGGCCGCTTACTGAAAAGCTGTGCATGGTAAGAAAATAAATCTACTGATCTCTCCTCCACTTTCACTGTCTTTTTGTTGTTTTTACAGTCTAACCCTGCAAATGAATCAATCAGTGACATTGAAGAGAATTGTCTTTCTCTTTTGTTATAGTCTTCAAGGGATGCAGGGCACTTCTTGCTTAATTATGATGGTCGAATGTTTTTTAAAATAATGTTCCCAGATGGTCACAATATTTTACTCTGAGTTTTGAATGTATGGAATGTAAGCTCGGGGGGAAAAAAAAAAACGAAAAACATCATCATCATCACTCAGAACTGCAAAATGTCCAGTGTTATTTTAGAGCGTAGTATTCCTTGAAGCATGTGTACGTGCATAGTGCCTTATCGTAGTCTGCATAAAAATGCGTGTCTCTTTTTCCTGAAAGCGAGGAGCTGTGATGGCACACGCACATTTCTATCTCTGTGTATGGCTGCCTCGGACATGGTAAACAGTAAACGAGGAAAGCGAGAATACTTCGTGAGTGTCAGTTATAAACAAGCTAATGGCATTGCCAATAAGATAGAAATCAACTTCCACCGCCACTGCTAGAAAGTGCTGTCAAAGATAAAAAACGAGAAATGTGCCTCTGTTGCGATAAGGCAGTGAAATCAAAACTGTAAATAAGCGTGGCCTGTCAGCATTGTTGCAGCCTGTTGATGCGTTGATACTAGAAATCAGTTTAGTTTATCTTTGCAAGAAGGTAGCTTAATCAAATTTCAAATGCTTCTTGTGAGTTTTAGAAGGTGGCAGCACCTCCCAGTGAACATGCATTGCCATGATTCCACAAAATTTCAGATGGAGGGTTGAAAACTTACCCTTACAACAAAGGCCTTGTGGGACGGAAAACTGTCGTCGTACATGTATGCCGAAAATCGTCAGAGGGTTAATATAATTAATTGCCTTTCAATCATTCTGTAGTTCAAGTTAAAATGAGGTTGTGCATTTCTTTACTGCCAGTTTTGGCTGATGTGTGACGTTATAGTGCTTGTATAGGAGCTGGCCTGTATTTTCTACTCCATACATAGCAATTGTTCTGAGTGAGTATCTGGGGACTCTCCTTTACTTGCAGATTTACGTGTGGCTGGACGCACTAGTCAACTACCTCACAGTTAGTGGTTATCCAGACAAAAACCACGTGTGGCCTCCCGACTGTCAAGTCATAGGAAAAGATATTCTCAAGTACAAATGACTGCTTTTCTCGCGATTTTGTAGCTGTGATAAAAACACATGACTCTACCTTGTACTTGACGATACCTTTGAACATTTGAACATTCTTTCCAAGTGCACTTCTAAGGGAAATCATTATCTCACTCATAGTAAGCTCTATTCGAATATCATTTCATTTGAGGCAATATTGCTCTACAAGTTCAGTTCAGGCACCCTGAAGTTTTGTTTCATTTTTGTCAAGTCTCTGAATGCATTGTTCACATTTTTTAGCAGATCCTCAACTGTTGTGGTGGCACTGATGTAATGGCAGGCTAAGCATTTCATTGTTTCAATTAAAGTGTGTTCGATGCCTCTGGACACTAATGACCTTTTGTTCGGTCTGTTCACACCTTGCATTTTTTTTTTTCTGAAAAGTAGTATGCATGTACGAAAAAAAAAAATGCCAGTCATATTTGTGCATGGCATTTCGATTATTGCTAGGGGTGGTGAATGGTAAATTTTTGGTTCAGAACAAATTCGAAGTGAATACCGATTTAGTCGAATAATTTGGGATTGAATAATCTGAACATAACATGCAGTGAATACTTGTTAATTAAATGTCACTGAGACTGTGAAAGTTGACGTATGATGCCATAACCGCTTTATTCTTCCAAATAAGCGGGTATTCAAATTAACAAAACATACGGAAAGGGGGATGCAAGGAACTTAGAACTATTGAAAGTAATCAGCGGTGATCATCTACTGTACTGCCTAGCTTGCTGCCCCAGGGGTTGTTTTTTCCAGCATTACCTGGTCTTGATTGCACCAGAAACAAAATGAAATGGCAGGCCTCGCTGCCATCAGTGTAAACGGACATAAATAAATCAAAATAAAAAAGTGGCCTGGTGGTCGGCTAAAATGTGCGCCTGCGGAAAGGAAGGCGTGCTTCACTGCAATACCGTGGTCACACTCGGGTAGCAGGTCATGTGCTCCTCGCAGCGTCAGCTACCATTCGCTGATTCTTTCTGATAGAATATTTAATTTAATTTAATAATGGCTAAAAATGGAATTTAATAACGGCCACTGTGATGGAATTCGCAATTTGTTTTGGCTCGAGAACATGATTTTTTTTTTCTTTTTGAAGTTCTCGAACTTGAGTTTTCGGAGTAGGCATTGCAGGCAAGAAGCCTGCCAGCGGTGCAAGTGCGCAAATTGTAGGAACAGAACAGAACAGAAGGTTTTATTGTGCTAAATGAAGAAGAATACATGTGCATGATATACAGAAAGAGGTCCAATAGTCAGAGACTGCAAGGGGACCTCTTGTACAATGTAGAATTGATAATGATTGTGATGTACATAGCAGGGAGACAGAGCTACAGTAAAATGCAATTGAAACAAATAAAGTAAGAATATACCCTTCTAATCTCACAGAAACTATTTAAAAGCAAGAGTAACGCGCTAACTTCAATGACAAGTGATTACAGAATGCAACTCACAATGAACAGGAATCAATTAAGAAACAGCAAAACAGGCTAGTTAGTTGACATGATATGATTTTTAACTTCGATTTAATTACCTTCAGGGAACGGCATACTTTAATGTCAGAAGGTAAACTATTCCAAAAAGAAATTCCGAAAAAATGAATGGTTTGTTTGCCATAATTGGTGCGAACTTTTGGCAGTAGAAAGTTATTGTTAAGGGCAAACCTTGTGACATTGTGTATTGAGAGAATGGTAGTAAAGTGAGGAAGTTGGTTATTTATAGTTCTGTACATGGATACCAAGGTTAGATTAACTAGCTCAGATACAGTGTCCACATTTTTTAGCAGATCCTCAACTGTTGTGGTGGCACTGATGTAATGGCAGGCTAAGCATTTCATTGTTTCAATTAAAGTGTGTTTGATGCCTCTGGACACTAATGACCTTTTGTTCGGTCTGTTCACACCTTGCATTTTTTTTTCTAAAAAGTAGTATGCACGTACAAAAAAAAATGCGTCATATTTCTGCATGGCATTTCGATTATCGCTAGGGATGGTGAATGGTAAATTTTAGGTTCAAAACGAATTCAAAGTGAATACCGATTTAGTCGAATAATTATGAATGGAATAATCTGAACATAGCATGCAGTGAATACTTGTTAATTAATTGTCACTGGGACTGTGAAAGTTGATGTATGATGCCATAACTGCTTTATTCTTCCAATTAAGTGGGTGTTCAAATTAACGAAACATACGGAAAGGGGGATGCAAGGAACTTAGAACTATTGAAAGTAATCAGCGGTGGTCATCTGCTGTACTGCCTAGCTTGCTGCCCCAGGGGTTGTTTTTTCCAGCATTACCTGGTCCTAATTGTGTCAGAAACAAAAGGAAATGGCAGGCCTCGCTGCCATCAGTGTAAACGGACATAAATAAATCAAAATAAAAAAGTGGCCTGGTGGTGGGCTAAAGTGTGCGCCTGCGGAAAGGAAGGCGTGCTTCACTGCAATACCATGGTGACACTCGGGTAGCAAATCATGTGCTCCTCACAGCGTCAGCTACCATTCGCTGATTCTTTCTGATAGAATATTTAATTTAACTTAATAATGGCTAAAAATGGAATTTAATAACGGCCAGTGTGATGGAATTCGCGATTTGTTTTGACTCGAGAACATGATTTTTTTTTCTTTTTTAAAGTTCTCGAATTTGAGTTTTCGGAGTAGGCATTGCAGGCAAGAAGCCTGCCAGCGGTGCAACTGCGCAAATTGTAGGAGCAACTGCCAGTCAGAGGTTCGCGTGAATTTTTAAAATTCTGTCAGACTGAGATTTATTAATATCCTTATATTCTCGGCAAAATGGCTGAATCATGATCGATGTGCAAACGCTACGAAAAGCATGCAACATGCTGCTCGCATGTCACTGCTAGGTTGCAGGGAAGCACTTTTTTTTTTTTCGCAGCTGCACATTTTAGTTTATTACAAGTATATATATATTTTCTTGAGCTGGAAGAAGCGAGGCTGGGGTGCTTCACTCGTCACTAGTTAGTAACACTACACTGCATTGCCTTGTTCTTAAGAGCCGTCGTTTCTGCGGATTCGCGACAAAAATGGTATCAGGAATGGGCTCATATGCACCTAAAGTTTTCGAATTAACTGAACTGGTGCCGACCTCCATTTCAGGTTAACCACTCAAACTTGCATCGCAAAATACGGGACCATCGAAATCCTTCGAATTTAAGTGGAATTTCAAAATAACCTAGTTCAAATCAATAAGGTTTTATTGTATTACACATTTTAAAGAAAAATGCCACATTTCTCATTACCCAACAAACTTGTACAATATAATAAAGGATTGGAACCAGGCCTGTGCTAGTGTAACTTTTTTGGTTTGAGGTGCAAGCAACTTTGAGTACCAGTATTTGAATAGTAGAAAAGTGGAGCTTAAAAAGCTGTAAATTATATATAACATTTTAAAGTTAGTTATACTTGGCAGATAGTGGTCCGCATAACAAGCTTTTAATCTTCAAAAATTTGGGGCAGCCTTACACTAAAGGCGCCTAGCCCGAAGTGTGGATATGTGCAGCCTTCTTTGTTTCTCCAGTCCTACTTATTTCTCGCTCTCTCATTTCCTCTTTGTTTCCCTCTATAGTTTTTTTCCTTTCTCGCCCTTTATATTTTACACTTGCTTTGTTTTTTTACTTCCATTCTTATGCGCGGTTTTGCCTGTGTTTAGCCAAGCACACTAGTTGTTTCTTTTTTCCTGGTGATGATAAGTTATCATCGTCAAGGCGCTGAAAGGACTAGAAGGAAACCTTGGTGCTAGGGTGTGCTCAATATTCTATGTTAGAGCTTTACACCAAGGAACGACAATATCACACTACAGCGTATGACAGCCTGGCCCTTCAAGTGCTCCGCACTTATAAAACAAAACAGTCCAGGTGCAGCTTATGTTGAAATGCAGGTTACCTTGATTTGTGGCTTCACAGCAGTGCAATTTTTTTTTGAAAGCTGCTTTTACGGCAAGATGGCCCCACTGTGCAGTGAAGCTGCTTTTTTAGAAGTTACATGCTGTAATATATACATCTGTTTTTGTTCGCTTCAATTGGGTACTTAGAAATTTTGCAAGCTTTAAATTCATGCCAAATTGATTTTGAATAGTGCTGTAATGTTTGCTTTAATATTCGCCAGTGCTGCTTTTTGCTTGTTAGGTGGAATTTAGGAGACATTTTTTAAAGCTCTTCTCTAACCGAATGTTTACCTTTCATAAACCAACATTGCCCAGGTTCTACAGGTATACCTTGCTACAAACCGACATGTAATGTGCAATCGCCTGTGATTTGTGCATGTTTGAAGCTGTTTGTCACATAAAAGAAGTATGTTCTGTACAAATAAAGAAATAATCATATTTTGCCATGCCTACTTGCACAACAGCTGTGTCTTGTTTTGGCCAGATTTCATGGCATCTATTGGCCTGCATTTTTGATGGCAGCTGGGTTAGAGCCTCCTCGCAGCATCTTGTGTCATTCGCACTGGACTGTGAACGATGAGAAGGTGAGTACACTCACACTTCTCTCCTTCTTTGACCATTCGTAGTTGTTCCTCTTGCGCATATGACTTGTGCTTCCCAGATGTCCAAAAGCAAAGGGAACATTGTCTGTCCTTACAAGAAAGTCGACAAGTACACGGCCGATGGAATCCGCTACTTCTTGCTCAAGGAGGGCGTACCTCATTCTGATGGCAGTAAGTTGAGAATTCATTTATTGCTGCATTCCTCCCGAAGGTAGTCTAGTGTCTGGAAACAATACAGCTTCCAAAGCATTATTGTCTGTTCAAAAATACGTAAGCTGCTGGTGAATCAGAGGGCGAGTGCAAGTTATCATGTACAGCCAGATTTTTATTCACTAGTTCGTTTTGCATACTTAGTCAAATGATATGAGATTAGAAGATTGCGTGTTAGTGCATGTGCAATTATAAAATTCCCAGATTCATGGTTGATGAGGCCAACTTGTATACTACACTGAGGTACATGCAATAAAAAATGCATTTTTGTTAAGTAGCACATTCAGTTTGTTGTGGCTATTTTGTAAGTGGTCATTGCTGTGCACTATATTTAGAAACAACTTAAAGAGTCCGGATATGCCCCCACCTAGTCGACTGAAACATGACGGCTAATAGCCTTAGTAACTAAGGAAATAGTCCCGCTCATCCTCACAGCAGTGTTCTCTGAAGGTGTGATCACTGGCCATCTGGCTCAATCTGGAGTGCATGCCCCATTGGCGAAGGATTATGTTCGTTCACTCTTGAGAAGGAATTGCTGTAAACTTCTAAAATTGTGTCAGTTAATAGTTATTCATGAGTTATATTTTATTTCTTTGTAGTGACTTTATTTTATACAGTGGCATACTTCTGTTCACATGATAATAAAAAGAATTGTACTAATACAGTGAAACACCTCAAGCTTGGCTATCTGGGAATGATGTTTTTGTTCAGTTTAAATTTCTTTGGTTTGGTTACTGGGAGCAAGGAGACGCGACTTGCACAAATATGAGCCTATTGATGGTTTACAGTTAAATCTGTATATAACGAAATTGTCAAATTCACGGGAAAAATTTGTTATAAAAAGGATTTCAATATATGCAGGTTCATATGAAAATTATAAAAATAAACGCACAAGTAAATAAAAGTTTAACTGAAGGCAGAGCTAACCCAAAACAACAGGTACCTGCTTCGTAGCTAATGCAGCGAGTGATGCCCAAATGGTACGGAGGCCACACTCTAACCTTGTCAGGCTCTATAGTGCTATGTTGCTATGTCAGTGTCATCTTTGTTTCTTTTTCGCACGCCGCGAAAGTTCGTTCGCCACAGTATGTGTCTGCTACCGCCAGCATGCAAATCATAACAACAATCATGTTTTTCATTGCCGACAACGTAGAACATCAATAGTGTAGGTGGCTTTATTTCGCACTGCGTATAAGCCATTAGGTATATTTAACGTCTGAGAGAAGGAAGCTTCCTCGACCTATTGTGCACAGTAATGTCACAGACTTCGAAAATGCAATTCGCGTTATGTCAGGGTTTGTCGTCTGCTCCACAATGTAAATGTGATTAACAAGCTTTTGTGGTTTGATTATGTTCGTTTTTCGAAGTGCCTGTCCAGCTGGGAGATTTTTTTCAAACAGTGCACGGCACTCCAAGTCCAGCGCCAGAGCCCTGCAGCTGCACGGAAGCGAGCGGCAGTGGTGTGAAAAGAAAGGAAAACGTGCTATGTTGTCACACCCAGGTCCCGTTATTTAGGGGAGGCGATCGCCGGGCTAATTCCAAGGGCCGAAGTATTGGCCCCCCGAACCGCACCACGAAAGCGTGGACAATTTAGAAGTGGTCCTTTTTGGCGCGCCAGCGGACGCCGGTTGTGGCCCAAAGAACAAGTCAGAGCCGAGAGTTGATAAACAAAACAAACATTATATTCTCAAAAATGGAAGATCGAAAACAATACACAAGAATGCACACTCCACAATAGTTACATACAATACGTCACCAGTCAAACAACGTACTACAAAGTACAAGCAGCCAGACTCGATACAATGGACACAGACAACAATACACACTACAATGCAGTCGCATGCATTGAACAACCAAGACACTTAAAGACTAAAGAGATAGAAAACCTATTCAGTCCAAAGTTCTTGGAACCAAAGTCTAGATGATACTCTTCCGAGAATCACTCACTCAAAGTCCAGCGTTGTTGTCGTTCCGCGCCCTCGAAGTTTCTCTTCCAGGAAACCTCGCCGAAGTTTCTCTTCCAGGAAACCTCCCGTCTTCAATAGGCCACTCTCCAAGCTTCAAACTTCTTCGCCGGAACACGTCGGCTTCACACACGCAGCTGTCGCCACGCGTCTTCGCTCGATAGCGGTAAACACACACTCTTGCCTGTAGCTCGAGTCGTCACTTCTCTGGTGGAAATCCTCTTCATCTCCTGCTTTGTCTCTACGGACAAAACCTTCGCCGACTACACGGCGGAATCCCTTCGCACTCTGGCGTTAACTTCCGTCTTCTCCTGATCTCTCATCTCGGCTGCTCGGTTAAATACCTTGCGCGCGACATTCCAGAAGGTTCTCGTCATTTCGTCGGCGCGATACGACGCGAAGGCTGGGAAGAGGGCGAGACGGTTGGAATGCCCTCCACGGCCGATGACTCAACTCGGTATGACCACGCCCCTTTCGTTCTAGCACTTTCGCGGCCTATCTCGGCCGCCGATGTGGGGTGAGGAGGTTCGTCGGCGAAGCCACGCTTCCAAGGGGAGAGCGCGTGCCCGGGGAGCCTTGGATGTTTGTTTTCTTTTTTTTTTTCTTTTGACCTCCCGGCGTCTCTTCCGCGCGTTACCGCAAGAATTTGGCGGCGCGCCCATTTTTAGCACTCGTTCTGTGACATATGTACATCCCCAATTTTCCTTTTTTGTCCGAGATGGCACTGCCTGTCTGGAGTCGCAGCGTCACCAAGCATTGCTTTGGGTCCCTTATAGGGAGCACTCGCTCTCGCCTAGGAATCGTAGGGGCCACGAACGCACCGTGCGTGCTGCTGCCGCTTCGCGCTTTGGTGGCGGCAGGGTAACCATGGAATATGCATGCTCATGCCAAAATGACAAAATCCATGGCGAAATTCCCGATTGTTCCTGGTAGAAATTCTTTATATCAAGGTTGCCTTCTATTGTTACTTTGTTACATAGAGATCGCAGATACGTGTGCATCTATGGAATAACGGCGAGGAATAGGAAAACTTTGTTTGATTAAGGAATTTATTATATAGAGGTTCATTACAAGCAGGTGTAACTATATTCATATTCATGGGAGAAGGTGATGGCAAATTTTCTGGTATCAAGTGTCTGTATTTGAAAAAAAAAAAGAGGATTCCTTCATTAGAAAGGCTGTATAGTGTTATACTCACACAGTATAATGGAATTAAGTTCTGCCAAAGTTCGCTGCATGGGAGTTCATGAATGGGAATAATTGTTATCTATCCACTGGTGCAAAACTTCGAGGAGATTTGTTACATTCACTCTCCATGTGACACTGAGTTGCTGATTAATTTTTTCCTACCCACCAGCTTTCTGGTTAGCTCATATGGCGGAGCAACCGGACCTGATTGGCCCTGCCACGGTGATCTAGTGGCTAAAGTACTCGGGTGCTGACCTGCAGGTCGCGGGATCAAATCTCGGTTGCGGCAGCTGCATTTTCAATGAAGGCGAAAATGCTGTAGGCCTGTGTGCTCAGATTTGGGTGCACGTTAAAGAACCCCAGGTGGTCGAAATTTCAGGAGCCCTCCACTACGGCGTCTCTCATAATCATATGGTGGTTTTGGGGCATTAAATCCTATATATCTATCTATGAACCTGATAGGCATTTGTCCAAGGTTTGGACCAAGATGAATTTCTCTTCAACAAAGGAGCCTTCAGAAAAGCTAATGCAAATTTCCTTTTTATATTTTATGGTATGAACTGATGTATGCAAATTTTTTTCTTTTTGGAATATTTGAGATAATACACTTATATTCTCGATTTTCGCCTAGATTTTAACAACACAAAGGTACAGCGGCTGCTGAACGCTGAGCTGGCCGACACTTTGGGGAACCTCCTCAGCAGATGTACAGCACCAGTCGTGAACAAACATCAGATATTCCCATCGTACGATGCGGAGTCTTTTGAAAACTATACTGATGGACAGAAAATTCTCGATCAGCTACATGACCTCGCAGGTAATTCATTTGTTATTTTTTAGTGAAGCTGAGTTTTTAGTAGTAAGTATCTGGTCACGAATCGATTTTGATTTCATGTGCACTCACTATTTGAGCAAACACTGTGCTAGTATGTCAGTTTAAGGGGTAAAGTAATGGGCTGAGCATACAATTACAGCTGGAAAAAGCTTCAAGAACAAAGGGCAGCCAGCTTCGAATCTAAAGCTTGGCACATTCCTTTATTTTGTTCTTGTACATACGTGAATGTAAGTTGTTGTATAACAAACTATAGAAAAAAAAGCAATAAAAAGACTAGAAAAAGGCAAACTATTAAGCACACTATTCTAACATTTTCAAGATTTTTCTAAGTTCATGCTTCAACATACAGTCAGTGTTTGATTTTCGCAATCTTTAGGGTGTGCAATATCATTCGAGAACGAAATTTTCTTATAACATAGCGTTGTGACTGGAAAAAAAAAATCCAGCTTTTTTGCTTTGCATATGGTTTAGTTGCCACTGCTATATACAAGATAGCTCTGAAGGCCTGCCAGTGCACTTGTTAGATATCTTAGCAGTCTCAGTGTGACATTTCATAGTGGCTGCACTGCTGTAGTATAATTTAGAAATACTTCTTCACCAAAAAAGATATTGTGTGCTTGGCCACACAACAGTCTTGCATTGCGGTGAAGTTTAGTTTTGGCTCCAATCGAATTGTTGTTCAAGAATGCTATACCAAGGTTATGAAAAAGTCATCATAGCAGAGACGGTAGCTTCTTGTCAGCGCCATTTTAAATTAGCGAACATTGTAGAACATAGAAAAATTGAAAGGCTAAGAATGTCAGCACTCATAGTTTTGGACAACTTTATACTGAGGTTCCTCAGGATACATGGTGATACATGTAAACTATATTGCACGAATAAAAAGGTTGGTTTGCTAACTGTATTTATGAGTTTATAAATGTCTAGTCTGTCACTGCATTTTATTTTTAATCACATAATCATTTAGCTATTTCTGCCTGCTGTATGCATACGCTGCCGACCGTAGGCAGGAATCAAAAAGAAAATGAATGCTGCTATGAAACAGACATTTTGCAAGATCAACAGAATGACCAGCTGAAAACTTGTTGCTCTGCATATGTGTAAAGTGGGAAGGAAATTGGAAGAGAAATGCAGCTAAAAAAAAAAAATCACCCTGTATATTTAACTTTTTTTTCTAAAGGTTGTGCACTTGTAAACAGAAACATTATAGTCTGGGGATTGCAGCTGGCACCACTGCTTTTCTTGTGCCCTCATTCTGTCAAGTGCATCAGAAAGGAGATTAATAGATAGCACAACTCAGGGCAGATTGCCGTATTTAATAATTGTAATGCTAGACTTCTTTCAAGGTTTTGCAAAATGTCATTGTGATGCAACCTTTCCTTTTATTGTCTTCTCGCCACACAACAGACAAAGTGAAGGACAGGTACCTGGTAGGAAACATATACCAGGGCATCGACGAGGTGATGGCCGTGCTACGGCAGACCAATGCGCTCGTCCAGGAGGCTAAGCCCTGGGAGCTGGCTAAAAGTGATTCTGGCGAGGCGCGGCTGAATGCAGTTCTACACGTTGCTCTAGAGGTTCTTCGTGTGTCGGGCATTGTGCTGCAACCGGTCATCCCCACGTTGGCCACTAGGATTCTGGACAAGTTGCAGGTACCACGTCTATCTTCTCATCTTGTTGTAATTACTGCAGTCTATCAAACACTCCCCTGTTCACGCATTGCAGAGTGCCTTTTCTCTCTGATGGCAGCGGAATTTGGTGGCAGCGGAATTTGGCATTGGTTGCACAGGCTTGCCATGTGGCAAACAGTAGCTTCCTGACTTTTCTTTATGAGAGGAAGTCTACTATATTCGACTTTTCTTTAAAAAGAGGTTGAGACAGGCGTAAGGATGAAAATACCACTTTTCTCTCCAATAGTTAGCTCATTTTTTTTTTATCAACTGCTGCACAAAAGAAAGAGGAGAAGCTTGCACTGGCTGAAGTAATCTGTTTCACATCAATGTTTGTTTTTGTGTCAGATATGTTCCTCATCCATCATTAAAGGCTGCACAGGGATACACAAGCCAGTGACAAAAAATGAGAAGAATGAATAATTTAAGTGGATCGCTGTAAAATAATGCATTGTAATAGCATGTTGGGTAGTTCTCATTTTTGCGGCTTGAACAGCAGAGGCAGCAATTTTGGGCAAATGAAATTGTTAGTGCTACCCTGATGCTTTCTATACTTTCCTTTAATTCTCCCATTATTGCACTTTTGATGTATGTGCAGATGTGATCTGCATACTGGACAATCAGTTATCTTGCCATCGTCAGGCTTTCTAAGCAGGCTTGGTTATTTTTGTGCAGGTGCCTACTGAAGAACGATGTTGGGCAGATGCCCAGTCACCGTCTCTTAACCCACGGCCACTGACTACTGACCGCACACACGTATTTGCGAGACTCAAAGTCCAGTCGGCAGCAACGTAACGTAGTCATGCCTAGGTTATTTTCTTCGGGTCTTCTAAGGTCTGATGCAGGCCTTTAGCTAATGTACAGTAGTAATAGCAAAACAAGTAAAAACTTCATCTGTCTTTATTTTACACATGAATGACTTGTGGAGCGGAGTGTGCCATGTAACTACATACAAAAAAACGCTGTGCCACTTCCGCAACATCGTGCAGTCGCTGCTGTGTAAAGAACAATGCACAGAAATAAAATTCACATGAGTGTTGAAGTGAGGTGATAAAGCACTATGCTTTTATTTTTTTTTAACAGCCTTTTTCATAATTGTTGTACTAGTAGAAAATTAAAGCAAAATGCAGACAGTTCAACTCCAGTGAACTTTATTTCAAATAAACAGGACCAATGAAACCACCAATTAAAACTATCATTGACACTTTTGTTATGTCTGATGAGTTCAACAAAAGTATATGAAGTGTACGGAGAAAAGGTGAGGAACACAAAAAAAAACGACACAGCACTTGCAAAATGTAGCGCATTTCACACACACACAAAAAAAAAACGAAATGTAGGTTGGAGTTGTGTCGGAAGAAGCATCGAGATATTACTTTATTCAAGGGGACAACTTGAGAAGAGTGTGAGCGCTGAAGACCTGAGCCGGAGAGGAGCACCAGTGGTGTGACATTAGTGTAGTTTGCTTCGTTGTAACTTGTGATCGTGCAGTATGGTATTCAGCCAAATTATGGTGAGACAACTATGAAGCGCATCTTCATAAGCCATAGAAACAATTTTTCTGCTGCCAACCAAGCACGACACCACGCTACAGCAGCAATGATCACAAAAACTTTGAAGGACATCACTAACTGTTGTAATACCTATGACCCTAAGATTTGTGTATGACAATGAGACTTGTATAGTTAGTACTTTCTGAAAAGGCTGCTGAATTGTCATAAATCATTGCAATTTAAGCTAGATATTTTAAATATGTAGCATTGCTTGTTCGTGTAGTGTGAATTTAAGATATAAATGTGTTTGTTTTTGTACTATATATTCATATCCCTGTCTTGTGTGTTGAATATCATGGCAGTACCTTTAAGTGCCATTCTGCATTTAAGTGCAGTATTGCCCCTCATCTGTCCTTCTATTTGCCCCTTCGTTCAAGGGGCCGGGTGAAAATGGGCCAGCACAGGTGGTGATGAGGGTGCAGAAATCAGCGATGCAGAGGAATGTTCTTGGTCTTCATGCCTGGAAAAAGACACGTTCTTTTTGAGGAGATCCATGAGGGGCCGAGCGATTTCCGCGAAATTGATGAAAAAACCGCACAAATATGAGCAGAGTTCCAAAAAGCTACGGACTTCTTGCGTGGTACGTGGGACCAGGAATTCGCGTATAGCGCGGACTTTGTCAGGGTCTGGTTGTGCACCAGTAGCGTAAACAAGGTGGCCAAGTAGTTTGATCTGACGCCTTCCAGAGGTGCACTTTGACGCATTAAGCTGGAGGCCAGCACAGCAAAAAACGTCCAGAATGGCCAACAGACGTGGAAGATGGCTTTCAAAGCTTAGAGAGAAAACATTGACACCGTCTAGGTAGCACAGGCACGTCGACCATTTAAAACCGCGAAGGAGGGAGTCCATGATGAGTTTGAAAAGTGCAGAAGTGCAGGCACATTGCACAACTCAAAAGGCATGACTTTAGATCAAAAGGCATGACTTTAGATTGATAAAGCTCATCGGGTCTAATGAATTCTGTTTTTTCGCGATCGTGGTCATTGATTAAAATTTGTCATTACCCGGATGGTAGGTCCAGTGAATAGAAATACTTGGCACCATGGTGGCAGTCAAGTGCATCATCAAATCAAAATTGAGGATAGACGTCCTTCTTGGTTATTCGACTGAGATGGCGATAGTCAGCACAGAATTGCCAGCTGTTGTCCTTCTTTTTAACAAGTACAACAGGTGATGCCCAATGAATGGAGAAAGGCTCTATGACGTCTTTGTTGAGCATTTTCTCTATCTCATTCTGGATGATTTGGCACTCTGAGTAAGACTCATGGTAAGGATGCTTGTGAAGGGGGCTGGCGTTGCCAGTGTCGATACAGTTGGCTACCACGCTTGTGCGGCCCAGGGGACGGTTGTCGATATCAAAAATGTCGATATAAGAAAATAGAAGAACACGGAGCGCATGAACGTGGGACGGCGACAGGTTGTTTGATATCATTTTGTTCAGGAATGGTCTATTTTGTGCGATTGCAACATGTTCGGCTATGGTCTGTGTGTCAGGTGTGAAAGATGAAATTGTGTATTGCTCTAGAGGGGAGAGTCCTGCTAAGGCAACACCTTGAGGAATGACCTGGGTCGATGCAGAGAAGTTGAGGATAGGAAGAAGCGCCCTGTTGTCGGCAATTCTCACTACAGTATGAGGAAGTGTGATGTTCCGGGAAAGAGTCAGGTCAATGATTGGAGCTGCCAGATAGTCGCTATCAGAAACAAGTGGAAACATGTGACATATAAAGGTACACAGCGGCCTGAGGTGGTAATTGTAGACACTCGACGAACTGTAGTTGTGTGCGAGTTGAAGGAGGGACATCAAACTACAAAGGCAACTCTACCCATAAAGTGCCGGTTATTGAACAATCGACGAGGGCTGAGTGCGCGCAGTCAATAAGTTAATGCTAACAGTTATGTCGTGTAGGCAAGTGTCTAGAACTGCAAAGAGAACTGAAGTTTGAAGGCTGGCAACAGTGACTTGAGCAATCCACATACCAAGGACTGATGTTCGGCTGCCGTCTGTTACTCGAACAGTTGAACGACATAGCACAGGTAAAAACTTTCTTTAGGCGCGATCGAAGACGTGAACTCATAACGACTATGTGGGCACTGCAGTGTCTATTAGAACTGTTACGGTCAGGCCATCGATGAAAGCAGCAAGTAAATTTCGTCTCATATTAATGGTTGGTAGAGGTTTTTCGGTCCTTGTTGCCAATGCAGCATCACCTCCAGGAGCTACATGTGTTAGTTTCCCAAGAACTGCCCAGAATACGCCAGGGACGGAGAGGGGTGGCGTTGAGAGGAGCGTGGCTGGCGACCCTGAGGCGACGGTAAGTGGCTGGGCCAACTTCTCTGCGCGACCACATCAGTGTAGAATGGGTCGGAGAGTAGCGTAGAATGGCTAGCTGGGTGGTCCTGAAAGTGGTCAACGGCGAAACGAGGTGGCGAGTACTGCTCACTATGCTATCGGTGGTCGTCTAAAAAACTTTGCTGGGAAGACCATCTGTTGCGGCAGTGGAGGGAAATGTGGCCAACACGATAGCAAGAGAACTAAATTCGGTCGATCATCTTGTGTGTGCCACTCAGATGGATTTCCGTAGCGCGATAAGAACCACGGGACCGAGGCGACAGCAGCAACAAGTGGGGCGGCGTGGTAGTCAGCATTATGGGACGTAGGATTTATGGGTTAGAGTGTGTGGCTGGAGGTTTGGGGAACTAAGATGCCCATGTTGGCAAACTCTTGTCGCACAACGGCTTGAATAAGCGATTTTGTGGCCAAGTTGTCTGGCACAGGGGGCTGATAAAAGGAGGGAGCCATGGCTTCCAGCTCCTGGCGATAAATCCTTGTGTTGTTGGCAGAATTGACTAATAGACGCGGCGCCACAGGATCCTCGCAGGAAAAAGTCGCAGTGGTGTTCGGGAGTCGAACGACACGTTGGGCGATTTCGCTGCTTTTGGCTTGTCCAAACCGCTGACATTCAATGACATTTGAGTCAACAATGGTACAGTTCTTGCAGATTAGAATGATGAAAGCATCGTCGGCTATGCCTTCAACACATTGCTAATCTCGTCTACTTGTGTCATGTCTTTGTTGGTCTTCCGGCTCAAGGCAAGCACGTCTTAGATATAGGCGATGTACGACTCGGTGAAAGATTGAACTCGGGAAGCGAGTTCCTGCCTGGCTGCCATTTGTCGAGCAACTGACCGGCTGCACAAGTCACAGAGCTTCTGATTGCACACGTTCCAACCCTTCAGGTCTTCCTCATGCGTCTCCTACCATATGCGTGCAGTACGTCGTAGATAAAAAAGAATGTTGGCCAGCATAAGCATCTCCCTCCTGGATCGTTTGCTCACGTGCTCGTTTAAGACAAGCCACTCGTCAATGGTAGTTGTGTTGGTGCTGCAAAATGTACCAGGATTAAGAAGGTGGGAAGGCATCACAGGTGACAGAGCAGGCGTGGACTAGACGGACGCTGTGGTGTCTTCAGGCATCGTGGCTGGACAAAGGTGACGTCCGTTACAGAGATCCATACAGTATTGCCATTCATACTGTCGCCTCCATCCCTTCAAGGAGGCTGTCTCAACCGAAATCATTCCGGTCGTCTCGTTGTACACTTTGCAGGCGTTGCGACTGCATCATGCACCTCGCTTCCAGGTTGGGAGGACAATACCCATATTTGGACGGCTGTCAGCAAACCCCCATACTTTCGGCAACTTGTTCGCAGAACCCCGTACACGCCTTTCCGTTTGGCTCGCGTGCCGATCCTAACAGTGCGAGGCCTGTATAACCTTCATCTTGTATCTCTTATTGAGTTCAGTTATGATACTTATCACCCTTTTATTAATACTATAGTATTCATCTATGTTAGCAGCTATATATTTCTGTGGATAAGGAGCCCCACCTCAAGTTCTCTTCTGTCAGCGAAGCCACGATAGCCAAGGACGTGCCCATTATGTAGCACTGTAGAGGCCTCATCTGTCCTCGTAATCTCACTCAGCTCTGTTATATCCAATTTAACACCCTCTAGTTCCTCGTATAGTATAGATAGACTTGCCTCACTAAATAAGATTGTAGCATAAACGTTGCCAAGTTGAGGTTCCAATGACGGCCTGTCCGGACCCTACAGATTCTCAGCACCCTCAGAGTGCTGCGTCGCAGATCTGACCACCGCCGGGGTCAGTTGCTTCGCAGCGGCTGGACTCTGAGGACCGAGGGTTAATTGGCATATCTATGTGGGAGGTAGTGGCCAGACAGCGCACAAGGGTGGTCAATGCTTCTCTGGCGAGGGAGTGCGTTATGTGTAGTGGTGATCGGTGAGGCCGCACTTCAAGCATCTTAGTTCGATTCGATCATCATGCACGCGGATTTCTTTTAACCCGATGGGGAATTGTGTGGCACCTAGGTTCGAACCACGAACTTCTTTAACGTGAGGCTGATACCACTACGCCATCGATGCATCTCTGTAAAATACATAACGGAGTGGAAAGAAAACAAAAAAAAGGAGAACGAAATGTTCTATAGTGAGGCGACCAACAAGCGGCCTTGCGCTCCGCAGCGCGTGACGCAAACCACTAAGCCACAAAGCGCACTTTTTTTTCTTTATTGAATCCACAAAGCGTACGTTGTGCAGCTTATTAACAACGAGTGATTTATGCACACCATTTACCGTTGGCGGACCTCAGAGGTCAGCTACTTCAGCGCGTTTTCGCCATCAGTAGCGAGATGGTGCGGGGGCCTCCACGTGGCGTGGCCAAAGTGCGTATAGGTGTTGTCTGACGTGGTCGCTCACTTCGCACTTTGTACTTCTCGTGCTTCCACTGCAAGTTTGCTTTGAAGTTACAGTGGCTAAAGAGAGGACGAAGGTCACCTCTCTTGCTGCCGCGGCCGCGTTTACGAAAGGAAAAAGATTGCCCGCAGCTTCCCTCGGGGAAACACTGAGGAGGATGCGGAGCATATAATTGGTTAACGGGGTGTTAAAACGCGACTTACTTGGGTCGATGGCTAAATTGGTTAACGTGGTTGTGAAATGGGGTGTTAAATTGCGACTTACTTGGGTCGATGGCTAAATTGGTTAACGTGGTCGTAGGAGGGGGTGTTAAATGAGTGAACACGTACACACGTATGCGAAAGGGCGGCGCTGGTCGAAGGGACGTCGATCATTAGAGGGTTTTAGTACTGCGTACGCTGCGTACGTGGCGGCGATGCGTACGTAAGGACGCCACGTTCTGCGTAGTGCGCATGCGCAGACCGTAACGCGCACGTATCGGGTTACGTACGCAGCTGCTACGTACGCACGCATGAGATGCGTGCGTGCGTACGTATGAGGTGATCGCGCCGCTCTCGAACAAATTCGCGACAGCGCGAGACTTCGTTTTGCAAAATGGCGGCATCGAAGGCAAGCACCGACTGGCTCTGTGGCTTAAAATATGGCCATAATCTGGCTATAACACTTGGATTGGCTCACATTGGCTGTCAACAACACTTGCTTCTATTTTGATCTACCAGATGGCGCAACACGCTTCACGCTCGCTACGTACGCGGGTACTACGGCGTACTAAAAGCCCATAAGTGGCAAACGACGCCATGAAACGCAAGGCGCTTGCGTGATGCGTACGTAGCACCATACCGCAGTACTAAAACTCTCCATTGTGTTTGTGGATTCGTTGGCATTCATTTCACCGCGACCTTGGACGTCGACGCGCCGTACAAACCAACCGACGAGCGGCAACTGAGCGAGCGAGCGCCGACCTTGAGTATATATACAGCGCGACGGCGCATGCACTGTCAGCTGTTGAATGTTCTCGAAGCGCGACGGCGCATGCGCGTCCGCTGAAGAATCAGGAGAATTGTAGAATGTTCTCGAAGGGGAGAAGCACGCGCGCACAGATGGTGGGTGACGGTGCATGCGCGCGTCAGCTGTCGAATGTTCGAGAAGGGGGAGAAGCGCAACGGCGCATGCGCGCGCGTCAGCTGCCGATGTTCTCGAAGCGCGACGGCGCATGCGCGCGCGTCAGCTGCCGATGTTCTCGAAGCGTGACGGCGCATGCGCGCTACATTATACAACTAGCGAATGTTCGTGAAGAGGAGAAGCGCACGCGGTGTGTAGAGATGCACAGATGGTGGAAGGAGGAGGAGGAAGCTTGCGGACGGCGCCGCACTACAAGCCTCGAGTATTAGATGCTCCGCATCTAAAAGGAGTGCGCCGTTGACACACGAAGTAAGAAGTGTTCGTACTCGTCCTATTATATATATATATATATATATATATATATATATATATATATATATATATATATATATATAAAATGCCCATTTCGTGCCTGCTTTCTGTTTGAGGTGCGTGCTGCACGTTTCCGCGTGACATTGCACTTTGTTGCTGTAGCATTCATTCTTCTTTCGCCCTTGTGGCGAAACAATGCACAATAGAGGCTCAACTATCTCTGTCAAGACAGTTTCACTTTCGAATGATACCGATTCCTAAAGAAAGGGATGAGACGCGTTTTTTTTTTCTCACGCCCCCACTTCCCCGGTGCAGAGCAGCAGAACAGAGTGAATTGTAACCCGAACCTTCCTCTCTGCCCTTCTTTAAAATACCCGATGGTTGTCAGACACTATCACTTCTGGAGGCTTTATTCAACTGATCTCAAAATGAGCGCGGGGTAATAAACCAAATTTTAATTAATTTCCTAAATACATAGATGCATGCCCGTAACAAGAAACGTTTTTTTTTGAGGGAGGGGGTGGGGGTGGCACATGCTGAAGATTTTGACTTTTTAGAACTCCTATTTTCATTACCTATTTTCGGTAAAGCATCCGAGTCTATCAGGACATAGGGGAGAGGGGGCCTAGGGCAACCCTACTAGCCTCGGGCCTGCAAAGATTTATGCAATGCTCTGCAATTATGTAACAGTAATGCTAATATTAGAAACAAGCACAATGTCCAACAACAATCATGCCCTAATGACGCTTGAGAGATCTTCAAAAAAGCAAGGAATACTGGAACACGATCTCCATATTCGTCATCGTTTTGATCATCTTAAAGTATTAAAAAAAAAACGTTATTCAACAGCAAGCTTCTTTGTGAAACGCGAATCGCCGGTTATACACGTGAGCCAAGCGCAGCACATTTGACGAATTGCGTCGCGTTTCTACAATAGGAAGTCCGAAAGAAATTTCATCTCAATGATGCATTCTGTAAACACATGCCTTCGGTCGTATCAAGTATCGTCGCGTTCGATGATGCGCTCGAATTTCAGAGCCACCCGTTCCCCGCGGCGATGCGACGACAGTTCAGCCATCGTGTCGTCCTTAATTGAGCGCGATTCTCGGGAGAAAAAAGAGCAGTAGAGGCACCTAATTTCGGTTTCGTTGCATCTCCGTGTATTGAGATAAATTGACGAGTCCGAGAGAAAATAAACAGAGTAGGGTCATTCTATGGGGTCATACAGTACATATTAAACGTACCGCATGGTTGAAAGCGGTGATGGCAGTAACCACCTTACATTGACTCAACTCCTAGTAACCTATATAGGGTGTGTTGTTATAAGCCGAACAAATAATAAGTAGCAATTGTTCGGGTTTAACGCCCCAAAACCACGATATGATAAATGCATGAGTGGACTGCTCCAGAAATTTGACGTGCACCTGAGGTTCATTAACCTGCACCTAAGTATCCAAAACCACGACATGATAATTGCATGAGTGGACTGCTCCAGAAATGTGACGTGCACCGGAGGTTCATTAACCTGCACCTAAGTATAAGTACACGGGCTTCAAGCATTTTCGTTTCCGTCAAAAATGCGGACGTCGCGGTCGGGGTTCGATCCCAAGACCTTCAGATCAGCTGTCGAGCATAACCCCTGGACCACCGTCACGGGCAAGCTGAACAAAGGAACTGGAATGGCGGGTGGAGGAACGTCGTTCATTTTAGTGACATCTTTTGTTTTCGCAGCATCTTCATAATGACATTCTGAGAAGGAGCGCCAGCTTGGAAGCTCCTATTTTTTAATTAGCGAGCGTTATTTTACGCCTCTTCAGGATAATGCATTACACGGAAAGCCGTATAATTATTCGTATTCGTTTTCACCGTGCCAATAAAAAACAATGGTACTGACTATTTTTTCAAGTAACACCGTATACTCCCGCTTCTTGCATTTCAGAGGTCCGCGAACTCTTCACTTTACACGCGTACGAATTCTGGGCTTAGTTCTTTGTATACGCCCATTGTTGAATGGCATACGCATCAACGATCACTCAAACGAGTTGCGGTTATAAGAACTTGCGACTCGGGTCTCATTTATTCCTTCTTCGCAAACGATGCACGGGTGTCTCTCCTCAATGAGAAGCCGTTGTTTATTAAGTGAAGTGTGCGTGGCAAACAAGCCTTCGAGAGCCGCCTACCCAGCAACAACATTTACTAAACCCGTGTGGCTGTGTCCGCTTGCGTGGTTTTAGACGTAGTGTTCACGCCCTTCATACGAAAATTACAGCTCTAGCTAATCGCTGCTTCCACTATAACTAACCTCAACACGCCCGTAACAACGAGCAGGCCGGAGTGTTTAGCTACACGTACAGACGGTGTAATGTGTCGGCGACGTTTCATTGTGATAGTCCCGCCCAAATGCCGTCGATGTTTGCTAAGCACATCTTATGTAGGGCAGAACCCAATGCGGATGCACTTTGTTATCTTCAGATCTCATCGTAGTGTCGTCAGGATGCAGTGATCTTTTCCGCCAACTTTGCACTGGAGGACGAGGAACAAAAGTAAAACAGTTTTTAAGTGCGGAACACTATAGGGTTCCGGGCTGGTGCGTGTTCGTCAGCTCATTTAGCGTGAGGTAACGTTGGTAAAACCACGTCATCTCAGCATAGTCATCTCATCTTTATACAGATGACTATGTGCTCAGTATGCTATTGCATGCTGAGCACGTGGTTTTTTGTGGCGAAGCTCCTTAATGTGTAGGCTTGTCTGCCGTACGTAGTTGTCTGTCGTTGCCGCCCCTAGTACGTGATGTGTTCACTAGATGGCGCTCGCGTCGTTTGAGATGGCGCTCGCATCGCCAGGAAGCCTCTAGGGAACACAGACATGCTAAGCAGCGGGGTGAACCGACGGATGATGTTGAAAAAAAATGGGAAACCTTTCTAAGCTGTAGAAGGGATGCATCCCTTCTGATCAATGAAAAGATCAGAAGAAAGGGAGCTCAGTGGCTTGCAGAAGTACATAAGAAAGATAGAAAGGCAGCTGCGAAATTTTGGAACCATATAAACTCCCTAAGAAATGAGACGAGCCTAGAGCAGAGGTTTATAACTACAGCCCAAGGTGCTATAGGCTAGAAGGGGACGAAGCTATTGAATATATAAGAACAAGGGTGACAGAAAAATTTCAACAAAGAAGTGCTTTATGCACCATAATAGACAAGGATGAATCAAGTGGAGCAATGGCTCCATTTTCACAACGATAGTGGGAAAGGGCTGAGAAAAGGGTTCCTAGTAGTACATCAACAGGCCCAGATGGCATTCCAATTATGCTGATAAATACATTAGGTCCGAAGTCTAAACAGGCTTTGAGAGAGGCAGTGAGCAAACTAATAATCGATGGTGAAGTTTCCGATGGATGGAAACTTAGCAGGATGAGCATGATCTATAAAGGAAAGGGGGAAAAAGCTGACATAAACAACTACGATCCTATAACAGTGACATCAGTGGTCTACAGGCTGGCGATGCAGATTATAAAGGAAAGACTGCAGGCATGAATAGAGGATGAGGGTGTGCTGGGGAAACTGCAGAATGGGTTTCGGAAACACAGGAGGTTGGAAGTCAATCTGTTCTCACTGACGCAGTGCATCGAAATATCAGAAAAGGAACACAGGCCCCTGTGGCTAGCATTTTGGGATATCAAGGGAGCGTACGATAGCGTGGTTCAAGAGGAATTGCGGGGAATACTGGACACACTAGGCGTGGAACATGTAGTCACTAATATTTTAAAGGATATCTATAAAGGTAACAAGGTAGTTATAAAGAGGGAAAAACAGGTATCCAAGCCTGCAGAGGTCAAACGGGGGCTTAGTCAGGGGTGTCCCCTGTCACCCTTATTATTCATGATGTACCTACAAGGATTAGAGGCCAAATTAGAGGGAAGTGGACTGGGCTTCAACCTCTCTTTAGTCAAACAAGGAAAACTTATTGATCAGGCACTACCAGCATTAATGTACGCAGATGATATAGTGCTAATGGCCGACAACAAGGAAGATTTGCAGAGATTGGTGGACATCTGCGGTAATGAGGGAGATAGGTTAGATTTCAGATTCAGTAAGAAAAATCAGCAGTCATGATTTTTCATGACAATGAAGGTAGTGAGCTTAGAATACAGGAGGTCACGCTAGAGATAACAGATAAATACAAAGATAAATACAAATATCTGGGCGTATGAATAAGCAATGGGGCCGAGTACTTAAGGGAACATGAAATATACGTGACGACTAAAGGTAACAGGAATGCAGCGGTAATGAAAAACAGGGCACTGTGGAATTACAATAGGTATGATGTTGTCAGAGGAATATGGAAAGGGTTCATGGTTCCTGGTCTGACGTTCGGCAATGCGGTCTTGTGCATGAGATCAGAAGTTCAAGCAAGATTAGAAATTAAGCAACGTGGAATAGGTAGGCTTACCTTAGGAGCTCACGGAAATACACCAAATTAGGGAGTACAAAGTGATATGGGATGGACATCATTTGAGGGCAGGGAAGCTAGCAGCAAGATAAAATTTGAGAAGCGATTGAGATAAATGGGGGAGGAGCGTTGGGCTAGGAAGGTATTCAGCTACTTGTACATGAAGAATGTCGATACAAAATGGAGGAAGCGAACCAGAAAATTGACTGGTAAATATTTAGAAAACAGCAGGTGGCCAAACCAAAAAGAATTATCGGTTAAGAAGAAGGTGAAGGAAGCTGAGACCGATATGTGGAGAATTAGCATGATTAAGAAGTCCGCACTAGAGGTCTATCGAACTTTTAAGCAGGAAATGGCCAAGGAAAGGATCTATGATAATACTCGGGGTAGCTCTCTACTGTTTGACGCCAGGACGGTAGTATTGCGAACCAAGACATATCGGGCCAAATACGAAGGGGTAGACACGGTATGCAGTGCGTGTGGAGAGGAAGAAGAAACTGCCGAACACTTGATAATGTTCTGTAAAGGGCTTCACCCTATCGTTCAGGATGATGGTGCAGAGTTTTTCAAGAGAAGTTGGGTTTAGGGACAGGGAGGGCAAAATAGACTTTAAGCGGGTAGAATTAACTAGAAGGAGGTTATATGATAGGTGGCTAAAGTCAAGGCACGAGTGAAAATAAACGCTTCACTGCAAAGTACGAATCCTCAACCTCACTTCTTAAAAGGAAAAAAAAAACTAGTTTTTGGTTCATTAAGTATCACGGCTTGGTGGCGCTAGCCACCGCCTGATCTAAAGGGTACAGCCATATCCATCCATCCATCCATCCATCCATCCATGTTTTGATAGACATACAGACGAACAAACAGAACTTCCGGAGTTTCGCCCACTCATCATAATTAATTCCATGGATAAGCTGTGATTGTTATTGCGATAGCATTTGTATGGACACTCTCCGCTGGATTTTGTATGCTGTCCTCCCATGGCATAACTCAGACAAAAGCACATGTAAAATGGAAAAAGAGAGCAAGCAAGAGAGAAATAGAAGGAGAGAAAGACAAAAAAGGGGAAAAAATAGGAAGAAAAATAGAAATGAATAGGAATAATAAGAGAAAAGAAAATACAGGAAGATCTGAAAAAAAGAGAATTAAAGAGAAAAGAATGGAAAGAAAAAAAAACAGAAGAGAAACAAAGAAGGCTACCCAGCACAGCACTTCCTTCAGGCTTGGCAGCCCTAGTGCGATAACCAGTGCGGAAATAACCGACGAGGTCTATGGTAATAGAAACTACGGAAATAACCAACACCTATTGAAATATGTTACCAAAAACTCCAAGAAACGCGTTTCAAACGTCCTAACTGCTATGAGCACCGCGCAAGAAAGAACTCCGCAGCCTCGGCAAGTGCGCGATTGCCAAGGAAATCGCTTTTCAGCCGGCGCTGCGCACTTTCACAGTAGCGAAGCTCTGCATTCAGCGCAGAATTTATAGCTGAAGGACACTCAGAAGAACGACGTCGGCACAAGATTTTTTGTTTCATTTATATTCCCCCTTGTTTTCGATATAGAGAAGCAAGAACTTTACATGCATGTATCATAGACATGCCCCCCCCCCAAAAAAAAAAAAAAAAAAAAAACTAAATGATGCTCTTAGTATACATCTGTGAAAAAAGTAGAAGGATGTTCTTGATAGATATGCTTAGGTATATATAAGGAGAAGCAGAGAAAGATAGAGAAAGAGAGAAATGCGAAGAGAGACACCTGAGGTTATTTATTCTTACCGTTTCGAGCCGTACAGTACATATTGTATATGGACTATTTTCCGTGAGACATCTGAATGCCGCCATGTTGTGCTGTTAAGCCTTTGTTTTCTTGTTCTTGTATATCGTGGCGTGTAACACTAAGGTCTTGGAACATCGTATGCACCAACACAACCGTTTTCATGAGCATGCGCCTACCGTAACACTGTTTGTTAAGTTGTTAAATATACAAAAAGATAAAGAAAATTAAAGGTTAACAGCCCAGTACGGTGGTACTCAAACGCATACGCAAAATATTCTATAGCAGGCTCGGGAAATGCTATATAGGACCGATGCATAGCGTTTGGAGAATGGAAAACAGGTACACTTTATTCCCTTCTGAGTGAACAATGATCATTGCACGCTGCATCCGACTTGGATAAATAGCGCAGCGCCCAGTTTCTGCGATTCTGTTGGGCGACGATCAACGTCGCTGTAAGGTGACACCCAAGGCGGAAGGTCCACAACGGTAGTTCATCTATCCAATCCCAAAGTTTAGGATCCGGAGTCCGCAAGCCGTCCTTTCGATGCGCTAGGTAACTTCTACGCCTCTATTTCGCTCTCTCTCCTCATGGTCGCGGACAAAAAGAAACATCCTCGGTGACGACAGTCTCCGCGGCCTTTAGTGTTACTCACGTGCGCTCCGCGCTGACTCTGCGGTGACAGGGTTCAAATTACGGTCGCCAGCTTCAAAAAGCGAGAACATGAGTCGCGCGTAACTCCTTCAGCTCGCTGCCTTCCGAACAGAAAGCTCTCCGAGTCGCATCGTGCGCGCGCTTTTCGACGTGTAACGATGGCCGATCGGAATTCGGCGGCGTGGACGCCGACGCTCGTGGCGGCGTTCTCCGTGCTCCTCGCTGGTTTCGCTGGCGGAGGCCACCTTCAGCATCGTGGATTTCACATCCTGCGGTAGGTATATCTACGCTAAACAAAGAGAAAAAAATTCGAGGATCCATCAGCTTGGCGTTTGAGATTGGAACGCGTAATCGGGTGCCGTTCTTTCTCATGCGCTTGTGGTGCATGCTTGTCTCATCCGCTTGTAGGTAGACATAACTGCAGCTGTGCCTCAAGGGAAGCAGCGTCTGTGCACTTGACATTGGCCGTTGTAAACTTTCGTGCAGGGGGTACCTAGCACTTGACATTGGCCGTTGTAAACTTTCGTGCAGGGGGTACCTAGCACTTGACATTGGCCGTTTTAAACTTTCCTACACGGGGTATCTACTGCGATTGCAGTTGGGAAGTCCCCACTAAGCAGTTACTTTTAAGTTTGCGTAGTAGCGAAGTACCCAGTACGCGCACCTTCATCGCTGCACACTTTGTTGATGTTGTGGTTCACGATGATGGTCAAATATACCTCAGCGCTTATAGTGGGCAGCCCTTTAAACCACCAACTTGTTGCGCAGTTCAGTTTGTGTGACCTATGGGACTATTTCTATACGTTTCTACCGCGCAATGTAGCACGTGTCCCGCACTCCATGATGCGTGTATAGACTTTTGTTCCGGAACAGTTTCAAGCACTGGCTCTGTGTAAGTACTCTGTGGTAGAGCGCCTGAATTTCACTCAAGATACGTAGTTTAGATTACGGCTTGAACTCCCGATTTTCGTTCTTTGCATCCATGGCCAGTTCTCGCTCACAGACTCCGATACTGGAATTTCTGCGAAACGGGCTCTTGAACGGTATACCGCGTTAATATTAAAAAAGCGGGCCTTCTTTGTGGAATTCGCTGGTTGAGCGACGCCTCTACGACTGAGCGTACATTTGATTTAAAATGGTTCTCCACAGGCATCAGTACGTTCTTGACCCATACGTGGGGTGCTTACTTTTAGTCTCCTGTTCATGTGATGGCACTTGCCAACACGCTTAGCATTACCTTCCACTGTAAGACTGCTACGCACTCTCGAATAATAGCAGGTATATTACCACTATCCCTGAAGAGGAAGATATATAACAGCTGTATCTTGCCGATAGTTAGCTACGTAGCAGAGACCTGGAAACTTACAAAGAGGGTTCAGCTTAAATTGAGGACGACGCAGCGAGCAATGGAAAGGAGAATGGTAAGTGTAAGCGTAAGAGACAAGAAGAGAGCAGAGTGGATCAGGGAACAAACCGGGGTTAAGTATATCATAGTTGAAATCAAGAAGAGGAAATGAACATGGGCCGGGCATGTAGTGCGTGGGCGGGATCACCGCTAGTCATTAAGGGTAACTGACTGGATTACCAGAGAAAGCAAGCGGGTTAGGGGGAGACAGAAGGTTAGGTGGGCAGATGAGATTAAGAAGTTTGCGGGTATAAGTTGGCAGCAGCAAGCACAGGACCGAGTTAACTGGCGGAACATGGGAGAGACCTTTGTCCTGCTGCGCCTGCAGTGAATGTAGTCAGGCTGATGATGATGATGATGATGGTGGTGGTGATGATGATGATGATTGATGATGATGTAAGACTGCCCCTAAACGTATTGTCGCACGAGACTATACTTCTGCAGCAATGACACCAGACAGTGTGGTTGGAGAGGTTGCCTATACGTTACTGATGTGTGTGCATGTTGTGGAACGGGTCAGCTGACCTTGACATTTACTTGTCGCCATACCTAATCCAGACAGGTTATAAAATATAATGTAGTGATAAGGGTTCCTATACTGCAACGCTCATTCTTGCTGTGCAGCAGCCGACTCGGTCAAGCGGTGAAATCGATGTTGTATGAAAGGCAACGCGTGCCTGTTTATCCCGATGACCTGCGTGAAAAAGAGAGGCTATAAAAAGATTGCTTGCTGACCCTTTATTGATGAATTACGGTGCGATGACCTCGGAGAAGAAAGGAACTAGCTTAGATCTCACAAGAAGAAGAATGTCAATATCTTTCATGCACTCAAAAAGGACGTAAACCAAACGTGTGTCAACAAAGTTTCATATACTCTTGATCCAGTATTTGATGAAGTCAGATTTACGTTACTAAGACACATCGACATATGAAGAATTCTGATATGTCTGTATTCTTGTTAAGGCCTTCGCATGTAACTTCGCTGGTTGACTGTGGTATAGTATCATAACCACATTGAGTTATGGTCACAATTTAAGAGACCTCCATTGTGTACTATCCATATTATCGATTTGTGACGATAAGCACCCTTAGTAGAACAAAGGGCATAGAAGGATCGCACTGCACGGCAGATGAAACTATCCTGTTATGCCCTGGCTCTGTGCACATTTAAAATTTGAAGGAATATACGAATTTATTGCTAATTTATCTCTTCAATGCGTATTTTACGTCCATCATGTTGAGGCGAACATCACCTGCTCCTTATACGTAACACCCGTCGTCTGTTTTACGTTGTCCTAGACATGAGTATGCCATAATTGTCTTTAATATTCTGCAATTAATTTTTAGAGCTATACAAAAACATGTACGTTATTTTGTAACAGCTCGCCTTCTGTAAGCTTTTGGTTGGTTCTGCTTTGTCTTGGCCTCGCTTCTAATTAGAGCATTTTTCGTGATGCAGTGGAAGAAATAAAAGAAATCGCTGACTGATAAAGCTTTTTTTTTTAATTATTACGCAAAACTGTCTATCTGGCAAAACTGTCTGCCTGTCTGACTGTTTATCGTCTTGTTTCTTCTGACACAGGGGGTGATGTGCTGCAGGTTCGTGTGGACCCCTGCGAAAAGCTGCCTTGCACATTCAAGAAAGGCCGGTCGGCGAAAATCGAGATGGACTTTCACAGCGGTAACAGTTGCTTTCCTTTAATGGCGGAAGTTCTGGTGGCTTGTTGTTTCGTGGTGTTCAGATTGTACGCGCTGATGAGACTAACACAAAAAAAAAGAAACAAAGAAGATGACGTTGTTCCAGTTCCACACCGCAAGAGTATACAGGGTAGCCAACCGAGCCGAAGCTTGACTAACCTTCCTGTCTTTCCTGGCAGTTTCTCTGTCTCTCTCATTGTTCCAGACCACAGCTTTGAACGTTTCCGCAAAGCCACCACGCATGTGCAATACACCTTCCATGAAATCTTAATAATAAATCTTTACTGATGGGGTGTTATTGCATTTGAAACCTAATATCAAAATGTTATCATCATCAGTGGTCTCTGTTGGAAGGCTATTGTCATGCGTGAAGCATAAATTTCCTCCTGGTGACGCCGAAAATGTTTGTAAGTGACAAACCTGAGCTAGCTCCTCATTCGATGGCTTTTTTCAACCACTATCAGTTCTGAAACAAGATAAAGAAATATAAGCAAGAATCGCGTAATAATAATGATAATAGTAATAGGCGTTGCGATCAGTTCAATGAAGGAATAGGCTTGAAATGCGGGACAGCATGGTGGCTATCTTGAAAATGATGTAAGGAAACTTTATTCAAGTCAGTTTACTGTATGCTTTAAGTGTATGTAACGCACATGATTGCGCAGAAAAGCGAAAATAAATACCGAGAAAGTCAAACTTACGTCATAGCTAGAACGGCAGGGCCACCTGTTTGACTGTTGCGAACTCGGCTGAATGCTCCACTCTACCCTGGAAAGTGCGTTTGAGAGAATGCAGCCGATAAGATAAGATGAAGGTGATATGGCGAGCATGATGATTATAAAGATAGCTGTTGAAAATTTTATATTAGAGGAGAGGGGTTCACGCGACTGCATTGTAGTCAGGAAATTATATACAGCATACCATGATATTTGCACAGCTGCTTTCGAAACAAGAGTACTTGAGAGAGATAGCAACCGCCTCAGAGCGTCAATGATTCCATGCAGCATTCCATTGATGGCTTAGTTTAACGGAGACGTATCGCAGCAAATGCAGAGAGGTTAGCTATATTAGTATTCTGTCAACTGACCAGCAGTTAACTATCGGATAGAAAAAGATGACAGAATGCAAGTGGTCATATAGCGCTTATGTGAAGCAATACAGGTTCAATCGATGGTTGCGAGTTCAGCGCTGTTTTTTTTTGTTTTTTTTAATCTCTCGCCGTATCTAACCGTGTTACGCTGTTAGTTATTCTACGATGGTTATTGGTGAAAGCAAAGCTCTTACCTCTGACATCTGGAGCATTATGCACAGTTTGCATAGGACCTTTATAAAGCTCTTACCACGCAGTCTACTATAACGGTTATGTCCTCTACAACGTGTTCTTTGGAAATTAATTTGAGTCCAGATGCTGAAATTGAAGCCGTTTATTATCGCACCTTTTCACAGTAATCTTGTATGTAGATCGGCTTAGTAATTAATGCATATATATGCATATGCATGTGTCTATCTTTAGCGCTGCCATACTTGTTTACTGGCTACTTAGTAACATTATTGTCGCTGAGACAAACGATATCGTTGCTGAGGTAGCGTTCGAAGTTACGTGCCAGTAAAAATAGAGCGTCTGCAAGCTGGATTTGGATGAATTAACTTTATTTGACCTTTCGGAACGCTCTTTAGCACGTTGCGGGCCGCTCCCACGTCGGTACAGAAAGACCAAGTATCTCTGCTGCGTCGCGGGCCCGTTGGACTGCTCAAGCTGGCTTCTCTCATCAAAACTCCTTTCACAGAGAAGCAACCTTTAAAGGTGTGCATGCGCATAGGTGCGGAGGCGATAGCGTCAAAAAGCTCGTTTCGCACAAATTGCATTCCAGTGTCGGCGTTGGCGTCGTTGGTTGTGAGCGAAAATCATCATCTTGTGCGTTAACGAAAAAACTAGAAAGCTGCAAATATAACAAAAATTTCCGAGTCCAAGTGAGGATCTAACCCGGTTCGTTTGCGAGGCAAGCACATGTTCTACCACAGAGCCACACGTCTGCTTGGAATGAATATTACTTACTCTGCCTGTAAATGCTCTAAAAGTAACTTGTATGTTTTACAAACACACGCGTTCTGTATACACGCTTCACAATTCAACATGTAATAATGCAGTACTAGGGGGGAGGGGGTGATTTTAAAAGAACAGAAGAGAAAAATGAGCCCCGTTACTGTCTCTCAAGGGGAGGACAACTCAACAGTAGCTCACGAGGGAGGGGGGTGGAGAATGGAATAAAAGGATAAGATTAAAAGGTAGATATAGAGAGAGGAAGGAGAGAGCGAGGTGGTGGGACAGGGAGCGATGGATGGATTGATTGATATGTGGGGTTTAACGTCCTAAAACCACCATATGATTATGAGAGACGCCTTAGTGGAGGGCTCCGGAAATTTCGACCGCCTGGGGTTCTTTAACGTGCACCCAAATCTGAGCACATGGGCCTACAACGTTTCCGCCTCCATCGGAAATGCAGCCGCCGCAGCTGGGATTTGATCCCGCGACCTGCGGGTCAGCAGCCGAGTACCTTAGCCACTAGACCACCTTAGTGGGGCAGGGAGCGATGGAAGTAAGGAGAAGGCAGGAAAGAAGGACCCGGTTGCAGAAGTCAGAGGACGAGGCACCACTGGCGAGAGCTCTTGTCGGCGACAGGAGATGGCGTAGGGCTAATCCAGTCGGACAGAGCTACGCTGTCGTCGTCGTAGGAGACCGGCGGCAGGAGGTGGCGTAGGACCAACCCAGCCGGCCAGAGCTGCGCTGTCGTCGGAGATCACGAGGGCACAACCGGTCGGCACGGAATCCAGCGAGCGAGTGATGCAGCACTAATGTGTGGCACAAGCGTACATTGCGATCGGGTGTGAGAACGTGTGATTATCATGACTTCCCGGTTTAAAGCGGGCCACCCACTACAAAAAGCACACTTGTCACGGCACCCTTTCTCTTAAAGGCAAGTAGCGGGTGCATAGGTAGTTCGAAAAAATTCCACGCGTACAATGGCCCGTGGTTTAAAGCGTGCTACCCATTACACAGAATGCAGCCGTGCGCAAAAGATTCACTAACACAAGCAATTTTGAACTCAGTACGCACTAGGAACATGATATCGCTATATCGCGCTCAACTCTCAAAAGCGAAGCTTAAGGATCCCCCAATTTTTATTGTTTCATAACCTCGCTAATGGTTATCCTTTGAAGTAAACACCAATATGTAATATCGCTTGTATTTGTATGTTGGTGTCTTCAATTCGTTCCATTCCTTTAGCGCCATAACTTTTTCCCTCAATCAAAACGAAGGCGTCCTAAGCAGCAGTGCATTGCCATGGTCGTATTCACTGTTTTTCCTATAGCTTACTTAAATGAGCATTAGACCCGGTAAGAACGTACACGTTTTTTTTAATAAAATGCGATAAGCAATGCTGTTCACGAGTGAATGCTTATATTAAATCATATACTACATGCATCTCTGTGGAGGTGTGCCGAATCAGAATTGCGTGGCTTAGACGGTTGGCTGTGCACCTGCAGACCTAATCTATGTTTGTAAACAATGGCGGGTGCCGTTGACATACTGAGGCGCTGGTAGCGACGTCACAGCGTGCCGGCTCCGTCCAGCCCAAGGCTGTCCACCACCCTCTGTGATCACGTGACAGCTGGCGCAGCAGCTGCAAAGCTGCCCCCAAGCACGTTGCGTCAAGGAGCCTCTACGACGCACTGCGCTCGGAGAGTGCATTGTCGTCCCAGCTTCAAATGAATATCATCATCATCATCATCATCATCATCATCATCATCATCATCATCATCATCATCATCTCATCATCATCATCATCATCATCATCATCAGCCTGACTACGTCCACTGCAGGACAAAGGCCTCTCCCATGTTCCGCCAGTTAACCCGGTCCTGTGCTTGCTGCTGCCAATGTATACCCGCAAACTTCTTAATCTCATCTGCCCACCTAACCTTCTGTCTCCCCCTAACCCGCTTCCCTTCTCTGGGAATCCAGTTAGTTACCCTTAATGACCAGCGGTTATCCAGTCTACGCGCTACATGCCCGGCCCATGTCCATTTGCTCTTCTTTATTTCAGCTATGATATCCTTAACCCCCGTTTGTTCCCTAATCCACTCCGCTCTCTTCTTGTCTCTTAAGGTTACACCTACCATTTTTCTTTCCATTGCTCGCTGCGTCGTCCTCAATTTAAGCTAAACCCTCTTTGTAAGTCTCCAGGTTTCTGCTCCGTAGCTAAGTACCGGCAAGATACAGCTGTTATATACCTTCCTCTTGAGGGATAGTGGCAATCTACCTATCCCTCAAGAGGAAGGTATATAGCAGCTGTATTCAAATGAATTTGGACCTATTCCATCTTCAGAAACATCGAATAGGTTTATATGAAGCAGAATTTCAGGAACCGAAAAAAGAACTTGTTGCGAAGCGCAGTCTCTCGCTCTCTCTTCTATGCTTAATTATTTATTGTCCTGCACTTCGAAGTATCGTTGTACTGCGTGTCGTCTTCTTTTTGTGTGTGCATGTGTGCAGCATACAACCAGTCTAGCGTGAGCGTGGGCATCATGGGCAAGTCTCACGGCGTCCTGCTGCCGCTGCCGTTCAACCAGAAGGACGGCTGTACAAGCTCGGGCCTCGACTGCCCTCTGCAGGCCGGTCGGAACTACACTGTCGCACGCGCAGTCAAGGTCTACCGCATTTATCCAAAGGTAAGTCTTAGAGTGCACCATATCTAGAAATACGAGGGATAGATGAAAACAACGAAATGCGTGGAGTTTAAATGGATTCTTACCAGGCTTGGGTAATGCAAACACGTAAGCTGGCTGCATAGGCTACACAAAGGCTATGCGGCGAAGATTCCAACTGCCACGCATAATTGAACGTAAACGCCTCGTTAAGATAGCTCGACGTTCAAAGTTAAATCCTCGCGCTACTTATTCTTAGTGCTGTATTAAACGAAGAATAAAGCAGGAGGCGGGGCTAATCACGTTAACGTCCCGTACCCTCTCAAATTGGGAGAGGGAGAAAGCAGGAGAGAAATGACGTTCGCGATGCGACTGGTCGATTAATTGGAAGAGGACCTGGTGATCATGCTGAATAGAGTGGAATGGAGCAAGCTGTATTCAGGGCCGACGGGGCTTGAACTAGCTCGTATGTTGGTGACTCCCACTTAGACGACGTGACGTCTTCGTCGACGCGTGATGTGGGACAACGCCAGAACGTGTGTGAAAAAGTTGCATGAATTTGATGAAAAACATTCAAGCTATATGCAAAATCTAAAACTTCGTTTAGATTATTGTGACGTGATGCACTGCCTGACATGCACGTTACTCGTATGAACGAACTAGGGGGGTTCAACTGAGGGCCTGATTCTTCTGCGTGAAATGAATTAAAAAAAAGCAACGGAAAATGACGCTAAGGATGTACATGCTACATTACCCGCACGTCTTAACTGTAGTACAGTAATTGTAGAATAAATAAAGAGGAACTTGAAACAAGAACTCGTCGCATGTATTGCAACCAGCCTGCCACAGCTTGCAATCATAGAGCATCGAAAGCGTTAACCGAAGGTTGTAGGCGTTATCTGGACCGGCGTAAGTTGATATTTCGTTCTGTGTAGAAAAAAGTAATTAACGATTTGCGTATTTAAAATAAGTTGCTAACGGTTTATAGTAGTTGGTACTACTGTACTTTTCAGTTCTTTTTTATTATCGTCATAGCAACTTCAGTACAGTTAAAACACACAAGGAATGTCACCTGTACCATCCTCAGCATCTTCGCCTTTTAGTTTCATTATGTGCTGCACGGTACATGGTGTTTCGAGCGTAGGAATCTACTGTCAGGTGTAGCGATCAAGTGTCCCAGTCAGGCGCCACACAGCTGTCAAGTGACACGACTCGCATTTCCAAACTCGCAGATGGAGATTCTCGCGGTGTTCCAAGTGAGCGGCAACGGAGGAGACGTATTGGCCTGCGTCGAGTTCCCCATACACATCATGTGACCCGCGAGAGATGCGGCTACAGGAAGCAGCGTCAAACGCCGGCAGTTCAAGGAGTGCGCAGTACAGCGGGTCACAACAACACGCCGCGGCAAAAAAAGTCGTGGGCACGAACGTTAATTGGCCTCGTTTTGCGACGGCGGCAAAAGAAGGTTCAACGAAGAGCAGCTCATCGTTAGTTACGGCAGTGATCTCTTTAAAGTGTGCGAACGTGGCCGGAAGGGCCGCTGCTTGTACGTAAAAACAAGAAAAGTGAGTGCAGTGACGAAAGTGGAACGTTATTGACACGAATAAAACACATATACAACACGTTCAGAGTGATCTGAAAGATTGCAGTCTACCTCATTCGTTACGTGAGTTGACAAAAAAAAAAAAAAAACGTTTGCATACGAACAGACCTCGATACGCTTAGAGTGCATATAGGTCAACAGCAAAAGCAATGAACGGCGTAGGTGTGCGTCCGAGTGCGTAGGCGTGCTGGTGCAAAACGGTTGAGCAGAGCACACATTTAGAAGCGGCGCTCTGCTCAACGGAGCAATCGCGTTCGTCTCACGTGAGCGGCCTGTGGGCAGTTTGGCGCTAATTGTGGTTTTTTTTTGTTTTTTTGGTGTAGCGCGTGCTGGAATCGGACATAACCCATCAGCAGTTTCTATAGAAAGGCTCTGCTGCAACGTTTAGATAATTTGACGAGTAGCTTTTTAAAGCATACTGTATGTTAATGGACCGTCACACTAATAACTACTTAAGATGTCCTTGTTTACGTTTTCTTGTTAACCAATTAAATAATCAATTAATTAATATTTGATGGTTATGCACCGATATGACCTATGAAAATATTCAAATATTCGGACTCTTGCTAGTTTGCTATAAGTCAACAGCGCTTCGTTCTGCTTCGTTCTTTTCAATAATGCGTGTAATGAATGCTATGCTATAAGATTCATCCAGGTGATGCCACGTCTATTTATTTGTTTCCGCGTCTATTTAAAAATGCGGAAAAAACTAATAATAGAAAAAAGTCAGTTTCGCCGCAAAGGCGAAGCAATGAATCCGATAGCAACAACTCGGAATGTAAACGCTGAGAACAGCTAGCGCATCGAAACGTGCAGGGCGCTGCTCACGCACAAATTACTCACAAAACAAAACACAGGACGAGAGCTAACTAACAACGTTTACAGCTCGACGCTTAACGTGCTGTTTAAACAAAAACAACGCACGAAATGTAATCACTGTGTTTTAAAAGCGTGCTCTTCTCTCGCAAACGGGGCCTGCCCAGCGAGCGAAGTGACCTTTGTGGCCCAGGCAACTAATGCGATTGTTCCGGTGAAAGTGAAAGACCAAGGCACATGGTTTTCCCACCGAAAGACAAGCGCGCGCGCACAAGCACCCCCCCCCCCCCCGCCCGCGAGGCAAAATACGCGTGGGAGATAAGCGCACGTTGACGTGTCGCGACGAGTTGAATGCCGAGCGCGGCTCGCTTTTTTCTATCTCAAGTTTTCATATATATAGATACGTACATATACGGTGAATGACGGTGGCGGCGGCAAAAACCAGCCGAGACTGTCCGTATAATCGTTATCGCAATAAAAGAAGAATGTAAAGGTTACCACAACGCTGCTATCAAGCAACATTCAACTGCCGTCCAAAACCGCGAGGTCCAGAGCTGCCTATTTCAGAAGGCGAGTCCTCCAAACGCAGCTCAGATGTTCGTGCGCATTCAGCAGATGAAAGATAAGTCTGCCCAGGTGTAATAGTGGCTATGGTACTCGGCTGGTGACTCAATAATCACAGACTCGACCCCTCCCCCTTAGAGTTTCCAATATTAACTAGAGGAGACTCTGGCGTTGTGATCGTTCAGCGACCATGGGAATGATTGATGGGTAGTAGACGGATTTGCCTAGTCTTCGTACTTGCTGATGGCGAATAGCATTTGTGGCTTAGTTTACTGCTGTGTTTCGGTTTCGTTTCGAAAGAAAGAACGAACCCTTTTGAGTTTCGTGACTCGATTTGAAATGGTAAGCCTTTTATATAAGATTAAGGCGGAGAAGTGCAACTGCTGAACATTTTCTAATTGTTGTTTCGTGCCAAATCAGCTTCAAGCCAGGTGAAGCCAAAACGTAGTAAAGTACGAATAGTAGCAAAACAGCCATTTGGGCTAGTTGGTCTTTCATAATGTACGAAGAGTAGGCGAATCCATATACTACCCATTATTTCCGTATTCGCTGAAGCGCCGTGCGTTGCAGGGAAAGACACCATACAACGCACGGGGAGAGGGAACAGTCTAAACGATGCTCAAATATGGTAATGGACGTACAACACCAAGGTTTTGCGCACGACACCAAGATATTGCACATGTCCTAGGACCACAGCTGATCTAGGTTCCAAGAACTCTCTCATCAAGGGGTTGAAGCTCCAAAGTAAAGGTGTGGAAAAAGTGATCAACCTTGGGAAGATCGGCTCCCTCGGACGCGTGCCAAACTTGCCTGTCTGCGTTCGGGTACATTTGTGCAGCGACCTGACCAGTTTATCTCCAAACATGCCACCCCATGTGGCAGATACTATGGAGAGGGGAGAAACGAGGAGTGATCGACTAAACCCTCGTCGATTGCTAATAGTTACTCCTTAACGACTGCAAATTTCCTGTGCTTCGCTCCTCCCGAAAGGTGCAGTGGTGGCCAGTATAGTCTTAGCTGCCACCCGAAACAGCAAATAACACGGTGGCTTCGACTATGGCCCCGTCGCATCTTTGCTTGCCCGGAATGCCTCTCGTACATTGTATGGAGTCGAAGTCACAATGCACTTTCTTGTCTCGTTGGTTTTCTTCACGCCGAACCGGTCCGTTGACACCCTTATTCACACTCGGCAGAGGGGTAATCAGCCCGCCTCAAGTGCACACCATTGCTTGGAATGCGTCGAGAACTCTTCGTCGGGTTCACAGCCACCGGAAGAATTCCAGTGCGGACGACGGGTTCCGAAAAAAAAAAAACGTCCCCGGAAGATACGTTTCCCGAATAAATGTCCCCGTTCCTATTTGCGTTGTCGGAAAAAAAACGTCGCCACAACACGGACACTGTTGAACGCTGTGTCTTCCAGTCACTAATTCTTTATTTTTCAAAGAAAAAGAAAAGATGTGCGCGAACATTGCAGTTTAGTGAAAGATTAGTGACGAAGCACCATGACGTACCACCTGTCCCAACTTATCTGTATAAGTGTAATTCCAGATGCAATGCCACATACAATGCTCATTGCAGATAAATACAATCGAGCTATGCACGTGCATCAAAAGTACATAACGGAGCTGGCAGTTCGGCACCCACGCATTTCATCCGGAGGCAGCAGCTCGGTCACACCAGCACTCTGCAGTTAAGTATACGCTTTCGGGAGCTCAGTCGATACTTGCCATGTGGTTGACTTAACGGCACTTATTTGTGGGATGCACATAATCAAATCGAACAAAGGAGGCAAAAAGCTGTGCATGGGCGGTTATATGTAGAGACGAAAAGGTGCTGTCTTGGTTATCTGCTGGCTTAGTGCTAAACGTAATGGATGCAAAGGTGTTCTAATTACGTGGAAATCCTCAAGCGATGGCATACAACTTAAGCGTTCACTACAACCACTCTGCAGATAATGCTGCGATTAAAGCGCAAGAATAAAGCAGCAAATGTAAGAGACTGCATTTTTATTGAGAGAAGAACCCACCGCCATTGTCGCAGATGTCCTCAGAGACCTTAAACCCGAAAAAAAAAATCACAGTATATCCACAGAGTGAATGATGATAAGTGGGGTGAAGCACTCGAGCGTTTCATCGCTAAACCGTGAACCATGCGTGGGTCTCGCCCACTAAATCATCAAAGACGTGACAAACACTGTATTTAATTATACTAGAAACTTTATTATTCGTGAATAGTAGCTATACGTCGCTTCCATTCCCACTTCATTATACCGGCTTTATGGTCGGTGAAGTAGTGGATTGGTGATGGGGCATAGTGGGATGTTTGCAAGGACGAAGTAGTGGGCAATTTGCAAAGGTGGAACTATAGGCTGTCACGTACAAACAAGGGATGGACACCGCGGAACAATCTATGGTTCTTTAACGCGCACCTAAATACAAGTACATGACCATCTTGCTCTTCATATTGGCTACTTCTCAACAGTATATGATTTATGGTCGGTGAAGTGGTGGATCGGTGATTGGGCGTAGTGAGATGTTTGCAAGGACGAAGTAGTGGCCAGTTAGCAAAGGCGTAACTATAGGCTCTCACGTACATATATACAAGGCATGGACAGACCTAAGCCTTTAGGAGCTTCACCCCTAAAAAAAAAATGCCGCATAGGCAGCGAGCAGAGCTCGACACGCTGCACTGACCAGCAGCGGAGCAAGATATACCCATCGAATCCTGCCAGCCTTGTTGTTCCGGCACCTCAAACTAACGCTGTGGGCGACCGTCCAGAGCACTTCTTGTGCTACCGTACTGGCCCAGAAACTAAAAAAGGCTCCTTGTATTTGCCAGCACAACGTGCTTGAAGTTATTATCAGAGAGCGGCATCTTGTTTATGTACGCAAACTTCTATCTCGCTGAGGGCTGTTGGACACACGATATGGTTTTAACTTCATTCGTTTTCCAGCACACTATGAAAAATTGCGAGGTGTGGAATAGAAATAGCAGTTTATTCGTTTCTCGGTTATTTTTCTCTGGGGACCTTTTCCCCAAGACAGCCATGCCAGAGGGGCCGTTTCTTTAGGGGGCATTTATTCAGGGGACATTTTTTCTTACACCCGCTGACGACGGTCATAACAGTCTACACCCAGCTTCATGGTGCTTCTTCTTTCATCCATATGTAAATCACTCATGTGCGCTCTGAATGCAGTTGCATATAAGTCTTCCTTCAGTAAAAGACTTTTGCTCGTAAGCTAGTCATTTCTATGGACCTGTATAGTCGGTACACAGTCAGCAGAAAAACAAGAGCGCATCAGGATGATGACGGCTGCTGTAATGCACATACCA